CCTATAGCAAAAACAAAAACAAAAACAAAACCTCTCCCCCCCCAAAAAAAAACTCACTAGGTCCTTAGATGCCAACTATGCGGTTGACGACATATAGGATCTAGCCACGTAACCACCAGGCCGTGGAGCCTGCCGTGGGAGGAGGTTATCAGTGGCTGTCACAGTACCTGGGGGATGCTACTGACACTCCAGAGATCCAGGGTGCTACGCGGACTGCAGTTTCCAAAGTGTCTCCCAAACCGTTTCCTCTCTTTCATACTCTTCCACATCTTTGCCATCCTCATTAAGCTGGGCAGCCATGCCCCTCCCCTTGGCACCAAGCAGACCTCTGTGACTGCCTCAACTTTCCGAGCACTGCAGAAGTGACATTGCTAAGGGATTTCTGATGTGGGTCATCAAAGGACCAGCCGATGGCTGACTATCTCAGGATGTGTCCTGGGGTCTGTGGCATGCTGCTAACTGCTCACTGGCTCCTGGGACAAAGGTGGGGTTTGCGGGGACAGAGTGTGGGGGGAGAGCCTGGATTTCTAGCATTTGTTGGTTTCTTTTCTTTTTTCTTTCTTCTTTTTTTTTAAAATTTCTCTATAGTGTGCGCTCACCAGAGAGAGACAAATACATAAGGAGAGATAAAGTGAGAAATCACCCCCCAGGGGGTTGACCACACTGCAATCCCTTCTCCATTCTCCTCTAGGGATTTGGGCATTCATGTGTGCCCAGTGTGAGTTTTAAGCCACCAGGTCCGGGACTTGAACTGTGGCCAACTATGGGGGAGTCCATATGGGGCGAGTGCACTTGCCAGAAAGTCAGACAGAGACAGAGAGACAGAAAGCGAGAAATCACCCCCCAGGGGGGATGGCCACGCCGCAATCCCTTCTCTTCCATTCTCCTCTTGGGATCTTGGGCACGCACGCACATGCACCCTGCATGAGTTTAAGCCACTGGGTCCAGGATGCGAACCGCGGTTGGTTACATGGGAGTTCAGTGGCATAGCCATTATGCTAACTGCTGGTCCCCCCAGTGCATTTTTCAAGCCTCCAAGTACAGGACTCAAACCATGCAGGCGGCCATGTGGGATCCAGCACTTTAACCACCAAGCCACTGGTTGGCCCCATTTGTTGCATCCCATCTTGGATAATGGTAAGCCACCAACAGCAAGTCCCTGAACTGTGAGGTTGGAATGAGTTGGGAAAATCTGTGCATGATTGGCTAGAACAGGGCAGGGTCTCCCGCATGCCACTCTGGGCCACTCCGTCTGGCTGCCCTAAAGTCTTCATGCTGGAGAGACCATGTGCAGATGGGACGCTTGACGAGTGCTGGCTGTTCCAGCCTCCTGCTGCCTAAGGCTCTCCATTCCTGGTGGTATTCACACGAGTGAAGCAGCCCCAGATGGCCCAGCCCCAGCCTCTGTTTCTCTGGCGGCAACTGCAGGACAGCGCCTGAGGACCACCTGGCTCTGCACAGTCAGTCTCCAGAGCCATAAACAATCTTTATGTTTTTGTGAGAGGTTTTTGCTATAGGGCACGTGCGCTCACCAGACAGACAGAGAGAGAGAGAGACAGAAAGCGAGAAATCACCCCCGGGGGGATGGCCACACCACAATCCCTTCTCCTCCATTCTCCTCTCAGAATCTTGGGCACGCATGCACACATGTCCAGCGTGAGTTTGAACCACCGGGTCCGGGACTCGAACCACGGTCGACTACATGGGAGTCCAGTGACATAGCCATTATGCTGACTGCTGGTCCCAATAGTCTTTATGTTTAAGTGTGCTGTTACAGGGCATTCGCTCAGGGATTTACTCATGCGTTGCATGACATAGGTAGCAAAAGAGAGCCAGCTGGTGGCATGATGGTTGGGGTGGCGGCACCCCACATGGACTGCTTGGCAGTTCTAGTCCTGGACCTACAGGCATAAAAAACAAGCCAGGCATGGAAACCAGCAGTTAGCACAATGGTTATGTCACTGGACTCCCATGTAGTCGACCGTGGTTCGCGTCCCGGACCCGGTGGCTTAAAACTCACGCTGGGCACGTGTGCGTGCGTGCCCAAGATCCCGAGAGGAGAATGGAGGAGAAGGGATTGCGGCGTGGCCATCCCCCCGGGGGGTGATTTCTCGCTTTCTGTCTGGTGAGTGCACGCACCCTACAGTGAAAATCTCTCAAAAAAACAAACAAACAAAAAAACAAGCCGGGCAGGGCCAGCAGGTGGCACCAGCAGACAGCATGGTAGTTAAGCTGCTGGACTCCCATAAGACCACAGTTCGAGTCCTGGACCTGGTGGCTTGATAATCACGCTGGGCACGTGCAGGCCCAAAATCCCAGGAGGAGAATGGAGGAGAGGGAACTGTAGCATGGCCATCGCCCTTGTGGGATGATTTCTCATTTTCCCTCTCTGTCTCTTTCTGGCAAGTACAGGTGTCCTATAGCAAATTTAAAATAAAATGAAACCATGGGAGAAAAGATTGGATTACAAAGATTCAGGATCTGCAAAGCCTATCAGCACTCTTTGGCAATGGGAGGAAGTATCTGAAGTTGCTAGGATCCCACTGCAGCCTCCACCAGGGTAAGTGGGAGCAGCAGGAACTCCCACTACGGAGTCAGGCAGAGCTGGGTTCGAATTCTGCCTCTGCCTCTTCCCAGGTTGTTTCTTAAGTTTGTTACCGACCTCTGATCCTCATAGACACAAAAATTGTCTCCACCTCAAGTTAGTCGATGTGTGCATCGAAAGACAAACATCCCTATGGGACCAGCAGTTAGCGTAATGGCTATGTCGCTGGACTCCCATGTAGTCAACCATGGTTCGAGTCCCGGACCCGGTGGCTTAAACTCACGCTGGGTGCATGTGCGTGTGTGCCCAAGATCCCGAGAGGAGAATGGAGGAGAAGGGATTGCAGTGTGCCCATCCCCCCCGGGGGATGATTTCTGGCTTTGTCTCTCTGTCTGTCTCTGCCTTTCTGGCGAGCGCACGTGCCCTATCTGGCCAGGCCCCGTCACCTATAAAAAAAACCCCTTAAAAAAAAAAAAAAAAGAAAGACAAACATTCCTAAGCCACGCCTGGGACTCAAGGAATAAAATCTAATGGTAACAACAACAAAAACCCACACAAAACCAACAACAACCAACTAGTAGGTTCTAGCTTTGAGGATGAGGGTTTAATCATCTAAAATAATAAGGAACATGGGGCCAGGCACTGGGTGGCACAGCAGTAACGTGACTGGACCCACATAGAAAAGGTCCTGGGTTCTCATCCTGGGACTTTCCCCAGCATGCCAGGCACACACACACACACACATAATCTGTCACTGCAGAAACTGGGGGTGGGTCATGGTGCAAAGACCTCATTGGGGGTGTTAGTCTCTCTGTCTCATGGGATTAAAAAATAAGAAGAAGAAGAATCAGGAGCTCAGAGCGAGATGCCCTCTGTAGTGAGATGCCTTCTGTGGATTTACTTTGTCTCACTTTGAGGAGGTGGGGCAGCAGGAGGGAGCACAATTACACATCGCTGCCCAGTGACCTACAGCACTCATGTTGAACTTGAACCCCTCGCAGGGAACAAGTGAGCAAAGCCACCATGCCAGCGCCAGAAACTACCTCCAATGACAATCCGTGAAGAGATACCCATGCACAAACTGGGCATTTTGATGTTGGGATCCAGGATGCACTTCTGCTGTGTGTGTGTGTGTGTGTGTGTGTGTGCACATGCTGCATGCCCTTGCATGTCTTTCTATTTCTTTTTAAAAATTTATTTCCTTTTTTTTTTTTTGACAGGTTTTTGCTATAGGGCACATGAGCTCGCCAGAAAGACAGAGACAGAGAGACAGAAAGCGAGAAATCACCCCCCAGGGGGGATGGCCACGCCGCAATCCCTTCTCCTCCATTCTCCTCTCGGGATCTTGGCCCACATGCACACACACCCTGTGTGAGTTTAAGCCACTGGGTCTGGGACTCAAACCATGGTCGGCTACATGGGAGTCCAGCTACATAGTCATTATTCCAACTGCTAATCCCCCCAAATTATTTCCTTTTTAACTTCTAAATTTTTTCAGAGGGTACATGTGCTCACTGGAAAGAGGCAGAGAAAGTAAGTAAGAAGGCACCCCCTCTGGGACATGGTCCCACTGCAATCCCTTCTCTCGCCCTCTTGTCAGGATTTGGGGCACTCATTACACGTGCCCAAAGTGTTTTTCAAATAGCAGGGACTGGGGCTCAAACCAGTCAGTCAGTCATGTGGGGTCCAGCCACCTTGACCACCAGACCACAGGCTGGGTCCATGTCTTTCTATGTCTCTTTGCACATTCTGAGAAGGATCCCTTCCCAGAATGGGAACCACGA